AACAAGTCGATTCATCCTAACCGATTTAATTAAATCCTTCCCAAGAATTAATTTGCCTGTGTCAGGCTAAGAAAGAAAAAAAAAAAAAGCGACCAACAAGATCATCCAATAAGCGCATCGAACGAGACAGCGACGTTCAACGACGTATCGGACGAATATGGGATTTATTGAAAATTTTCATGTCCTACGACAAAAGCACGTTGTTTCCAGGTAGTCCGCAATGCACGAAAATAAATCAGGTTGCCATATCCATGCAGCGACGCGAGTGTCGATGGTGGTTGTACAGTTGCGTCGACGTTGCCGCCTAGATTAACACCCTCTACGTATAAACGCTGTGTAAACCCCTTTGGACCCATAGAGCCGTGACGTATACGTATAGTTACGGCGAAGCTGGTGTACGCCGCTGGTGGTGTTTTCATGTGCGCGAGCGACGAAGAATAGACCACGCCGCCACGCCGGCAAATGGTAATCGATTGTGCGGAGGGAATCGAGTTACCAACCTCGCGGCGTTCGAGACGACGACGGACGCTCCGTGAGGCTGATTGTGCAACAGGATTCGGGGCCTTAACCCAACGGTACTAGAGAGTACCGGCAGGATGGCAACTGCACGTAAAAAAAAACAAATAAACAAATGTCCACGTTGCAAATGACTTTTAGCCAAAGGTCATCAATGGGGTTTTCATTGATTTTCATTAATTCGATACGCGTTACCCTCGGCAAAACACTATTGGCAATGGACATGTTTCCTACGGGCATGGGTCGCAGGCTGCGGTACTACCGAAAGGTCCCCCCTTTGGCATTCGGGGAATCCCCGACTTGAGCGAGCAGTCACGTTTTCTGAAATGAGAGACAGACACGATACCGCCAATATGTAAACTGGTAAGTCCTTGGCGATTGACGCTTAACAACCTGTATTTTATTTTTAAATATTTTCCCTGCCATTCTCTCTCTCTCTCTCTCTCTCTCTCTCTCTTTTTCGTCGCCTCTATAGATACGCGTAGGAAATATAGGTAAAAGTTCCTCGAAGTCGAGACGCTCAAACTGTATCGTTCATTCATAATCGCCGGGGCTGATTCATCGTTATCGGTCAGTTGTGCAATTTTTTTTTTTGGCACACCACGTATGGAACGGTCTTGGATCGAAGAATTTTGGCCGAGCGAAGGAGGGAGAGGGAGAGAAAGAAGGAGGAGATGAGAGGAGACAGAACGCAGAGAAAACGATAGATAGGCGACGGGGAGGATTGGAAAAAAAGTGTCGTACCGAAATAGCCCGTGATTACATATATACATAGCTGCCCAAAGGTGTTATCTAAATACACGAGTTACATACTGCACGAGATATACCCTGATACGTGTGTCTGCACACACACAGTTTCTCGCAGCATCGAAATACCTGTGTTTATGTACCAACGTGTGTATTTTTCGCGTATGTACATTATATAAAGTATGGCTGTACCAGGATAGGCAGTACAGCCGGGGTCCCAGTATCTCATGTCCACAGTCCGTGGTGGCTCTCGGTATCACAACGCATTCTAAAAATATAGTTAGCTATTTATAACGCGACGTTTTTTCGCGATGCCAAAGGAAATGACAAAAAGGCGGTAAAAGGAGCTCGTGAATTATCACCGAAAGACGATGGTCCATGGGCTACCCCGAAAATAATCTGTAAATAAATTTCTCGATAAGTTTGTTGAGATACTTGAAGGAAAAAAAAAAAATTAAATAAAAAAAAAATTTAATCGATATCTAAAGGAGTAATATTGTACATAACGTGTACGCCGCTTCCACCAGATACTTAATTTCTGTCCATGAACAACACGATAACAGAGTAACAGCAGTGCGCGGATTTTAGACAAGCTGCGACGAAGAGGTGGAGCGTCGGGGAGGAAGGAGGGGGAACTAAAGACAGAAGCGCGGATAAACCAATTATAAATGAAGGACACGAACAGCACCCGTAGCGTCCTGTCTAAATATAAAGCGGCAACAATAATTAAAGTGTTTGACGATTTGACAAGCGCGAAACGAAGTCACATGCGACGAATGTTGCCTGAACGGATTATCATCTGTTTACACGTGAGATTTGCGCCTCTTGTCTCTCTGCCGAAACATTTGCGCAGACCGCGCGACATGTCAGCTACCATCGAATGCCGCGTAGCACACTGCACGCTGTACAGTTTATGCGCTCCAACCCGAATGGACTATTTGGTTTGGCCGGTTTACCGACGCTCACCGAGAGATGGCACCACGGTCGCCCCGATACACGGCCTACGCCTTCTCTAGAGTTCCCATGCTCCTTGCTCTATTTAGGATCCTCCGTGGCGAACGGGTGACTCCCGAGAGGAATCTTGGAGAGGTTAGTAATATTTCGTATTTCCGGATTCCGGTAGGAATGCGCCCAAGGGTTTTCCCGACGTCTAATTCCCGACGTGTGAAAGTTAACGTTCCGCGTACCGGATAGAGAGTCACGGCTAAGGTGGAGTAAGCAAAGGAAAAACAAATAATAATACTAAGAGCAACGAAGGTACCACCGAAATAACACATTTTACTAGCAAGCAATAACGGCCTTCCTGTTTATATCGTAATAGCGTTAATTCACCATAATATTTTGGAAGGTCCATTTTTGTTTCCCCCCTACCCCCACCCCCCTTCCCAACGTACATTGTGAATTGCGTGTTTCACGCGCAAAAGGATACGATATCGTTTTCGTTCGATGTCAGCTGCCTACGCGGTCATGACTCAAATTTCATGAATAGGCGTAAGAATGAATTATAATCGTAAAGTTTCGTAGAAGAGTGGGATTTATTCGTAAGTAATTAACATCCTTCCACGGATCCTTCCTTCCTTCCTCTCCTCATGGCTGCCTCCTCCAATGTTCCAGATCGTTCCACGAATACAATTGAAAATTATACCAAGATACACGGACGCTGTGGTACGTTGATGGGCGACTCTGTCCTAAAAATTTCTTTACCGACCCGCGCTCTACAATTATCGACAGGAACTATCCAAGGTACAACGGAAGTCAGTCGTACAAATTTTTTTTTAATAAAAAGAAATCGTTAACCGTTCAGCTACGAATGATTCGACAAGTTCGAGGTTACGTTCGGCCACCCCCTGAACAGACGAGCGGGTTTTATTAAAGCGATTACCTCGTTAACTCTCTATTGGCATTAAGCCTCCGCTACGCCGACATATGTATATCGTTCGTTTATCTAACAGCACTATAGATACATAGACAAGGTGATATATTCTATATCAAAGAAAATGCACCCGATATATCATCGACAGTATGGTTTGCCCTGACAAAAAAAAAATTACCCATACTGATTCGCACCGAAGGTAGAAACCTGTTATATCGATACCCTACTACCCACATAAAATCTACGACGTGTCTATGGTATCTTGACCGAAACAGAATAAAAATGTAATAAAAAAAATAAAATAAAATTAGCCATTGACAAAATGGATATCCACGCGGAATACGAATGTTTCATTATAATCATATTATGGCTCTAATGGCTCGTAATGCCCAGATCACGCTCAGAGCCCGCGATATATTTGACTCGACGAAGCGCCGGTGGCCGCCACGTTTCCTTTCGACATGTCCGGCTGCAACTTCGATTAGGCGAAAAGTTTTCGTCGAGACGTTTTCGTGTCAGGAAATCGTAATCATCGTCATCGATGACCTCGTCGCACCTTCCGATCGTCTAAACGATCGGATCGAATATATATTATGAATATTCGATCCTCGATCGGGAAGAGGAGCAGGGCAGGGGACCGAAGCATGTCGTCATCGAGTATATAAAATCGAGTAAGCCTCCAGGAAGAAAAATATTCTCGGCGTCCTCCTTCCTCCTCGTTATCCATAAACCTCTATCCCACACTCTCGGGTCCGTCGAATGTTAGTCCTCTAAAAACAATGAACGAATAAATAATGGAAATAATAAGAATAAAAAAGAAAAAGAAAAAGACCAAAGAAAACCGTACACGAGGGATCCTTCGCGGATACTCGAAGTACGTGGCAAAAATACGGAACAAGGTGGATTCCCCGTTTATTTATCTTTGACGTTCGTATACGCACAGCTTCGTCGGCCTCGTGTTATCATTGCGGTACGTTATCAGGTCGCTTTATCGCCATCGCGATATGGCAGTATTGTGCCGTACAGTACCGAAGAGTTAACTATGCTGTCACCGTGCCGACCATCGTAACGATTTTGAAGGAATATTTTCGGTGTTTTCCGAATGGATAGAAGGCTTGAGGAGGAGGAGGAGGAGGGCAGGGGGGTGGGGCGGAGCGGTCAGAAAAAGAGAGAGTGAGAATTAAAGGAGAATAACGAAGCGTCAAAGAACTGAGCATTGGTAAGCTGGCGCAACGATACAGAAAAATTTGTATTTTTCCTGAAAATATTTCACGATAAACGTAAAGAAAGAAGGAGAAAGGGACCGAGAGAGAAAAAGCAAAAGACAGCTAGAACGAATCGACCACAGGGTAGTACACTTTCACCGAGGAATTGTCCTTGGGGAAATTCTACTCGATTCCTAGATTTACAGAGGAGAGGAGCTCGCACGCCAGAGACGAAAATACCACAAGTATACGAAGAACGCGACACTTGGAAAGGAAATCTTTGTAGTTTGAGATCGAATTTAAAAAAAAACAAGATATATATATATATATATATAACGTCAAGAGGGACCACGAGTGGACACGGCATTTCTTTCCATCCGTGCTCCCTTCGACGACAACGAACTACGAGAATTCGTAAATGTGACTCACTATTTGGCGCAATCGATGAGTTGGTACTCGTTACTCCTCTCGAAGCTCTGCTGAACGCCCCGATCCTTCCACAGGGTTTCGACGATTTCGTAAAACTCCTGCGAACAAGTGAAATAAACGTTTATTACAAATAAAAAAAAAAAAAAGAAAAGAAAAGAAAACACCACAGTTAACCATCGTAAGCCTAATCGTAAGAGTACAATGGAAACAAGAGACTGCACGTCAATGCG